TTCCCACTCTTTTCAAGGCGGGGTGGGGGATGATAACCTCATAGACTGTATTACTAATTTACTGCGTAACATCTGGTCGCAAGAGCGCATTCCGTCATCTAAGAGCGAATCACTGATCGTTCTAATTTTCAAAAAGGGATCTCACAATAAACCACTGCGGGATAACTTGGATCCCAATCGTCACCAAAGTATTAGCCTCCGTCGTACTTCGACATCTGATGCCCTTCAGGGAGACACTTGTCCACAACTGAGATTCCGACCAGGTCGCGGTTTTATTGACCAACTCTTCGCGTCCTCGAGTTACTTCATACACAGTCGATCAACGGTTTAAATGCTCCTTAAACTAAAACAAGCCTTCGACCCAGTTGACCACGAAGCCCTAATGGGTTCAGTTATTCGAAAAGGGATGCCGCCGAAGTATGTAGACGTATTCAGGTCACTGTGTCTGCATACTTGTGGTGGCGTAATGGCCTACGGTAAGCTAAGCTGATCGTTCGAAACCAAGAGCGGTGTTCGTGAGAGGTACCCTAGTTTGCCGTTCCTTTTTAATTCCGTCGTGGATGAAATAACGGAAAACACTCCATGTGATCTTCAAAACGTGAGTATTGAATGGGCGGCCGTAGAAAGGTATTTTGGAGTACACTGAGGACATTGTTCGTCTGTTCGAATGTTTGGGGGAGGCGCAAAGCTCACTTGACAGACTAATAAAGTCTTTTGCTCCGTTCGGTATGCGCTTTGTACCTATAAGGTGTGAAGTGACACTGCAGTTCTGGGTGTCAACTAGTCCTGTTCTGAAACTGAATGGTCATGAATTAGATGAAGTTGACTGCTTCTTATAATTGGGTATTGTGTGACCAATGAGGGTAGCGCAGTAAAAGAGGAAGCCACACACATTTCCAAGGGGAGGTTTTCGACAATCGATGCTTACTTATTCTGGCCCAGGTGAGATGGAGTGGTCGGGTTAGTAACCCAAATGTAAGTTGTCGTGTGTTNGAATGTATCGAGGATGAATTCGCTATCACATCGAATTCAGTTCAATGGGCTTCGCTGGTTAAGACACGTTTGTATGTCTAGAGGTCGCCCACGACACCACGCCCTATTTCTAGTTGTCGCTCCAAGCTGGAAAAAACCTCATAGAGGTCATCGGATGATGTGGAGATGAGGCATGAATAAATGCACAGAACGATTAGGTTGAGTAGGTGTCTATCATATTCCGGGCTGTGGTCCAAAAAACTCCGTGACTGGATGGT